GAAACACCATTAAGCACAAGGCTGGGTTTTGGGTTGTGTGCCATAGGGGACTTGGATTCCCTCTGGAGTCTACATAGTTGCCAAGGATGTTAATTATAAAGAACTAACCTGAGATTAAATTATGTTTCAGAGGAAAAACCAAGCTTGAAAAACTATTCTTGGCATTAGTCTCTGAAGCTGCAGATGAATTAGACCCTGAAGCAAGCAAACAAACAAAACAACAGAACCTGGTCTCTGAGTGAAAGGAAAAACAACAAAAAAAAGGAAAGCACTGAGAAAATGGGACAGGGGCTGGAGACAACCCTTTTGGTCTCAAAGGACAAGCTGGCTACAGAGATATCTAAGTGCCAGAAGGTGGTGTATCAGGAACTGCATTAGTTTATAAAGATCTCAATTACTCAAGGAAGATGGTATCAGATAAAAAGGCAAAAATCAACAAGCTAAAAGAACACTAAGTTGCCTTCATCTTCAGCATGCTCCAAAGAGGGAGGGGAAAAGTTTTCGAACCTGATTTATAAGATGTTAATACAAATCACAGTCCAGGCCTCCTAAACTTGGCATGGATCATACATTAAACACACATTTCTCTGGTTCTATAGCCTCAAATGAACCTTCGTGCCAAATGTCAGCTTGGTAAGTTTGATAAAATCTTATGAAAAATGGCAGGCTTTCAGACCCCTGGGCTCTCTCTTTGCTTTGAAGGAGTATTACAAAGAGCAGTTTCCAAGTAAAGACAAGTGGTGCTATAAAATATCACTCAGTACTGTGGGAGCAGGGCAGAAAGGTAGGTCAGAAAGGAACACTGAAGTCCAAGTTTCAGCATAAGGCTTCGCTTAACTAAAGCAACTTCTGCTCACACTGTCCCGATATGCAGCTCACCTAGGAGAGGGCTCTCTGGATTTTTTTTCACAGCTTTCTGTTAAATCTCAGGTACAAAGTTGAAACTAAAAAGGTCTTATAAGATAAGCTAACATTTGTCAAGAGGCAGTTTCTCATCACCTGGCCATCATCCGGCCCCTCATACTTCACGCTTCTCATCATCAGCCCCTCACACTCATGCTAATTAAAGTCACCATTACTTGGAACAAAAACGCCCACCCGAAGAAACTGATCCAGAGAATCAGAAGTAAACAATGGGTCTCTTACAGTTCTAAGATAATAGACATGTCATAAACCAGCCAATGACATATAATAGAGATAACTAAAAATGTTTTAGGTAATTTCAGTACCTTAGAATTAATATTTCCAAGGTTAACTGCAGAAACCAGGAACCAATTTGTATATAAAATACAACTTCGGGGCTCATGCCTGTAATCCCAGCACTTTGGGAGGCCGAGGCAGCTGGATCACTTGAGGCTAGGAGTTCAAGACCAGTCTGGCCTGGTGAAACCCTGTCTCTACCAAATACACAAAAATTAGGGCCAGGTACGGTGGCTCACGCCTATAATCCCAGCACTTCAGGAGGCCAAGGCAGGCGGATCACATGAGGTCAGGAGTTTGAGACCAGCTTGATCAACATGGTGAAACCCCATACTAAAAATACAACAACAACAAAAAAAATTAGCTGGTCGTGGTGGCACATGCCTGTAATCCCAACTATTCAGGAGGCTGAGGCAGGAGAATGGCTTGAATCTGGGAGGCAGAGGCTGCAGTGAGCCAAGATTGTGTCACTACACTCCAGCCTGGGCAACAAAAACTCTGTCTCAAAAAAAATAAAAATAAAACTTAAAAAAAAAAATACAACTTCACACACATAACATCACAAATATAACTGAAAAACAATACATCCAAATATGAATGGTAGTTACAGTATTATCAAGAGGGAATAGCTGGTTTTTATTTTCATATACTTTGTAATCCACTTAGAATAAATAGGAATATGCATACACTGTTTGCATAAACAAAAAAGTTGTTTTGCTTTCTTTAAAAGATCATTTCATAAAATGCAGAAAATACCAAAGGGAAAACAATTTTTAATATTCTCCTGCCTCTTTCTGGACATCGTCATCCACACATTTGCCCAAGCAAAAACTGGGGTGTCATCCTTGGTCATCCTGTTCCTTACTTCCCACACTCATCAATTTCAAGTCTCTTATAAGCATAACAACCCTTCCAATTCTATCCCCATGGCCACCATCCTCATATAGGTTTGTAAGGTGGCCTCACTGCAAATGTCCTCAGGACTGCCCCTCCCCACCTCTCTACAATGCAGCTCTCCAGCCCACACCTCCTCCTCTACTAGGCAGACCTCTCGAAGCAGCACTCCACACTGAGAGTGCTTTTCACCTGCCCACTAGTTGATTCTATCTACTTTTAACATGTAGAAGGGATCTAAGATCCAAGGCATGGACAGACACTTGCTGTCCATGTTGCTGTAGTGATCAAAACACAATAAGCACTTCTAAGAGGAAGATGAAAGAGACTTTTCTCATGATGAAAAGGACAGGGGCAAGCTGATTTATTCTGCCTCTCCTGACAACGTTCCCCAAAGGGGCAGAAACTGGGAGAAAACTATGTAAGCTGGTCTGAGGGCAGCGTTTCCTGTGATCTATACAGCTCTCAGTCTACGAACACCTCTGAAACATGCCACTGGGCAGTTCAAGGATGAATCCTGTGCAAGTACTGCCTACCACATTAGACTTCTCTCACATTATCCCAGAACCCCAAAGAGCCACAACTACTAGAAAGGGAGCCTGGCACAGGTAATGCAGGTGCCATTATCTCTCCTGTGGGCTGCCACAGCCTGTGCTTGTTGTGTACAGATTAGAGCCTGTTTAGTGAATTCCCCTGTGGCAGCAAAAGTAATCTTTTCAGAACACAGGTCTGATCCTATCACCCCCCTGCTTACAACTCTGCCAGGACTCCCTGCCCTACATCCCCACAGCTGGCTGACAAGACCCCTTCTAACCTGGTTTTCTACCTGCCCCCCAACTCGAATGCTCAGTCATGGGAGGTACTTGCTCCCTCAACTCTGCACCCACTCTACTGTCAAGATCCTATCCCAGGTCTACTGCCCGACCTGGGAAAGTCGACTGAAAAGGAAAAAAAAAGTCCTTCTCCCACTGGGCACCTCACTCCACCCCACCCCTTCACCCAGTCTATGCAGCTATCCTCAGGTCCCTCCTTCAAAGTCTGTCCCTCTGGGAAGTTTTCCCTGAGTGCCAACCACACTTCTCATCAGCCCCCGGGCCCTCAGTGGGTACAGGTTCTCTCCTACGTGCTCCCACCACAGTACCCTGGTAGCATTCCTCACACTGAAAGGCAACTGCCTACTTTCTTGTTGGATTCCAAACAGTAACTCCTCAAAGTGAAGGGCAGTACCCTGGAGGCTGTAATACTGCCAGCATACAGCATCATTCCCGACACACAGCTGATGTAGTCCATAATATGTATTAACAAGTGAATACAAGGAAAGATGGATAAGTTGATAGGAATATGACCGCAGTATCTGTGAGAGTCCAGGAAAAAAGGAACAAATAGTAACTTAGGAAAATCAAAATGCTTCCTGTCTGAACAGCCTTCATTTTACTACCAACCAACCAAAGTATCTCTAAGTGCTTTCAACTACACATCAGTAACCACGGAGTCAACAGCAAGCAGCACGCTTTTTTTGTGTGTGAAAATACATAACTGAGCAATTTTTTTTTCTTTTTTGAGATGGAGTCTTGCTCTGTTGCCCAGGCTGGAGTGCAGTGGCGCGATCTCGGATCACTGCAAGCTCCGCCTCCCAGGTTCATGCCATTCTCCTGCCTCAGCCCCCCAAGTAGCTGGGACTACAGGAGCCAACCACCACGCCCAGCACATTTTTTGTATTTGTAGTAGAGACGGGGTTTCACTGTGTTAGCCAGGATGGTCTCTATCTCCTGACCTCGTGATCTGCCCACCTTGGCCTCCCAGAGTGCTGGGATTACAGGCGTGAGCCACCGCACCTAATCCATAACTGAGCAATTTTAAAAGGACTATCATAGACAGGAAGAATTTTCATACCTGGAAGATGATAGTGGTTACAGAGAGTTCACCTCCCTCAAATTCTGATCTTCAGTACCCCTCACTCGACTCTCTTCTCAAATCTCAGGTAAGGGAGATATCTGCTGAGTACAAAGCAATCTAATGCCAACTTTATACTATGTGTTTTTCTGCTTATGAAATCATATTTCCTTGTTTCATTTCTACTATAAACTCAAAGGGAAGGGTGGGGAGCTTCTGGTTATCTAAGAGAAGAATTATTTAAGGAGGGAAAAAATAGTTGTTTTTTTTTTTTTTTTTTGCAAACTACATATCATCCCTCATCAGGATGATCTATGATAATTTATTTTATATGTGACTTATTTTTAAAAGAAACAAACTATAGTGAGATGACTTGAAGAGTAACAGACTTTTTAGAATTAGACCTCTAGATCACTAACAGCTGAAAGTTTAAGATTCAGAAATACTTGGAAACAAAAAATAAATGCAAATCAGAAGAATAAATACTAATTTCTAAAGTCTATTTTAACATGATATTAAACAGTTTCCATAAAAGAACATTTGAGCATGAACTGATGAGCTCCAGAAAGCAAATTCAACCCACAAATGAGTCCACTGTATCTAATGTACACAGCCACATGGAGATCCAGGTTCCTCAATACATCCGATTTAAAAAGTATCTTTGGCCGGGAGTGGTGGCTCACACCTGTAATCCCAGCACTTTGGGAGGCCCAGGCAAGAGGATCACTTGAGGTCAGGAGTTCAAGACCACCCTGGCCAACATGGCAAAACCCATCTCTACTAAAAATACAAAAATTAGCCGGGTGTGGTAGTGTGCACCTGTAATCCCAGCTACAGGAGGTTGAGGTAGGAGAATCACTTGAACCCAGGAGGCGGACATTGTAGTGGGTTGAGGTTGCGCCACTGCACCCCAGCCTCAGTGACCACCAGACTCCGTCTCAAAACTTAAATAAATAATAAAAAGTATCTTTGCTTGTCCTATTTTTACTGAAATGCCTCTTTGTATTACTTACTGGAATGTAATAGATGCCCATCTTGGGGGTTTCATTGGCCGTCAGAAGCATGCCTAAAAATAAACACAATGAAAAAGGTCAACGCATAGGAAAAAGAAAGTACCCTTCTCTACTTGCTTTCCATTCTGAAATGCCTGAGGAGCTTCTGTTAATCACTGAACCAAAAGTAAAGTATTTCCCACAAAATGTCACAACAAATTCCTAACTTTTGCAAAACAAATTCAAATTTTGCAGAGCAAATTTGATTCCTAACTTTTGTAAAACTGATTGCAAAACAAAATGTCTACATTTTGTTATAGTCTACACCAGGAAGTCCTAGAGGGACTCTAACAGCCCTGACTACAGCACAGTCACTCCCTCACAGGGAATTATAACAGACTGAACCAAACGGGCGGTTAATAATTGAGTCTCCTTAGGATCAGCATATAAGAAACCAAAACTGAAGAAAGAGATAACTTTCTGGCATTCAATAAAGGACTCTCTATAACCCCAGGAGCAACCTATAAATACATTATTATTTGGTACTAAACTACTTAGTATCAAAGTATTCAAATGTCTCAGTTTTGTTCCCTTTTCTCTGCCATTTTTGCAACACACTCCTTCCCCAAGTGTTTTGAAGCAGCTCCAACATGGCAATATGCAAACATCAAAACTCCTCAGAACCCCTGCTCAGGACCAGACCACTGCACTTTAAATAAGACTGAAACCAGCAAGCCTTTGGCCAGTCCTTCATAATCATCTAAGCACTTTCACATACATTATCTTAGTGAACACGCAACAACCCTCTAAAAGAAGATATATCATCAGCCCTATTTTATTGATCAGAAAAAGAAAGCTCAGAGGGACTGATGCCCCAGTCATGAGGGAATGTTAAAGGCAAACTCAAATGTTTCTGTTTTTAAATAAAGACTTCTACAAATAATAATTCATTTTACAAATCTATTTGTAAGATACAAGAGGAATCCATAGAGGGAAGACATTTAGATTATCAGATCACATAATGATAAATGAATATACCAAATGTTAAGGGCAACGATTAGATTCTGTTTTTAAAAATATTTTTTGCTGCCTTTCCTTTCATTACACAAAAGTTTGTAAAAGTGATGATATTTGAGTCTGTTACAGAAATGAAATGCTGAGTGAATAGAGTCAATTATCACTCAAGCAGGAACTCAATACTATCTTTTTTTTTTTCTTTTTTTTTTTTTTTTTTGAGACAGAGTCTTGCTCTGTCACCCAGGCTGGAGTGCAGTGGTGTGATCTTGGTTCACTGCAAGCTCCGCCTCCTGGGTTCGCGCCATTCTCCTGCCTCAGCCTCCCGAGTAGCTGGGACTACAGGCGTCCGCCACCATGCCCAGCTAATTTTTTGTATTTTTAGTAGAGAGGGGGTTTCGCCATGTTAGCCAGGATGGTCTTGATCTCCTGACCTCATGATCTGCCTGCCTCGGCCTCCCAACGTGCTGGGATTACAGGTGTGAGCCACTGCACCCGGCCTCAATACTATCTTACCACGTCTTGCCCACAACTCAAAAGTGTGAGCTAGACCTGAACTGGGACCAACAGGTCACCAAAAATATATGCACACAAAACTCACAGACACACACACATCCCCCCTGTAAAAACATCTAAAAGCACCTAACGAAGTCTAAAAAAGCAAGAATAATGTCTACATTAAACCAAAACAAAATCGGAGCTGTTTTGCATAGCTTGTAACCCCTGCAGAATCTTTCATCTTAGCACTTTTTCTGGCCTTCCAAACAATGTTCACTGAGGTCATGACGGATGGAAACGGCCTCTACCGATTGTGCTTCCTAGGTCTCCACTAACAGCTCTGCCGAAAGATCTCCAGGAGCCTTCAGACATAATTAAAGAAGTTCTGGGGATAGAAGCCCCATCTTTACTACCACAAGGAAGGTTCCTACTAAAGACCTCTCCTAAGCCTTCTCCACTGGCTCAACCCTGAACACTCAACAGTGAACATTCCACGGTGAAATACAACAACACCTACCAACAAACCACAGAAAGTGCTCTAATGTAATTACACAAAAAATTCAGACTGCACACAGCTAGATTGTTTTCTAAAACGGGGGAGGATCTCACATAGCCACATATGGCTAATGATACAAGTAGGTCTACTACGAAACTCAAGTGAGGAGGGTCAGGGCTGAAAGTAATTATGAATGAGAAAAAGAACATCATAGAGCCCAAAGAGTATGAGCAGCTTCTAACAAGTACAAACAGAAAAATAAACCGGTGAAAGCAAGTCTTAGTTCAGCAGAAATTAAGATGATCAAGGCAGAAGAAGAGAAGAGCATGAGCACCGTGGCAGGCAAGTCACATTATCAGCAAGTTACCTCCCTTGCTCAGGGCCACCACATAGCTAATAAGTAGAGCCACTGACAGTCGACCAATTCCAAAGCTCCATAACACGGGACTCTGACATTTCATCAACTAAGATAAAACTAAAAGACTTCTTGCATGATCAAATAAGAAACCATTTTTAAAAAGTCAGTATAAATACCACATGGCAAAGTGAAAGATGTGTTTAATACAATGTCAAACTAAAAAGCAAAAGGTAACCATAAGTACAGTGTGAGGACAACTTAAAACATATGAACACAGGATTAATATGGTTTCATTCATGAAGACAGTAATAGTATGTAATAGTACGTGTAAAGAGTTTGTGGCATTGAGGACTTTTTTCCTTTAAATTTATTTTAATGTTGTTTATTATTGTTTCCACAATAAAACTATACATTTTTAAAGGAAGGAAAAGATATCACCTCGAGTCAAAAGAACACATTTCCAATATGAACCAGTACACTATAGTGTCTAGTATGCAGTGTACTGTACACTGCAATAATACAATAAAAGAGAATTTGACAAAGTAGTGCCCTCCCCAGAAACATGCATGAATCGGTACTCATCTGCATGTGCTCTGGGGACTAAAGGACTCACTGAAGCTCACAACACAAACACAGTGCTCTACAGCTGCTCAAACTATGTCCCCAGAGCCAGACTGCAAACTGTCACCAGGCCAGGAAATAAGTGCAGAAATTGAAAAGAAGCATTTAGAAACCTGCAGTTCAACACTGCAGTGACATCCAAACGTGTGATCATTTTCCTAGTAATTCATTTGTATTGTATTTTACAGACGTATCAAGGTACAGTGGATTAGAAACTCTGAAACAAAACAAAAAACCAAAATCCTGGTCTTCACCAAACATGTTGGGAAGCGCTGCACAAAAACATATGGCATCAGTCACTGCCTCGAACAGCTCAGAGGAGACAGGCTGTGCACACAGAACTGTGCCAAAGGGAACTGGCAGGGGTGCTCCTGCCCTATATAGAACCTAAAATGAAAGTATGGGGCATTTGAGTTTACTATACAAGGCACCAAAGATATTTACAGATGACCCCAACAGTTCTCCACGTATTTAGAGGGCACTGACAGAGAATAAAAGACTTTTTCACATTTACCAGTAGAGGCAGCCTCCAACAGCCCTGTAAAGCAGGTGAGAATGTTGAGGTTGGGGAATTTTCACCACTATTAAGCCTGAATTGGGTCTTTCTTGAGCCCAGTGCCCATGTTCTTTTCTCTCTACCAATGGTTCTGAAACCACCAATGCTGATTCCACAGGTCTGGAATGGGACTCAAGACACACGTAAGCTTTACAAGCTCCCCGTGTCGTGAATCTGATGCACACCCAAGTCACAGAGCCGTGCAGTCTCTTCAAGTGCCCTGACCCGCATGGAGCAGCTGCTCACTGTACAGGTGGCCGGATGAGCCATACAAGCAGGGCCCTGAACAAGGCAGGAAGGCGGAACCATTTCCCAACATACTGAGCAGCCTTGGTATAAGAAAAATATTACAAAACCATAATCATGATTATGCTTCAATTACTCCAAAATGAGTAAGTGAAAAGAAAAAAGAAAGACAGTTTCAGCTTTTCTAAACTATGATTAAGCCCACAATGATTAAGCACAGACACAAAGAGTACAGCTGGAGGAAAAGGTGTGGGAAAGCAAGGAACAGCAGAGCACATGAACCTGCCACACTCAGATCCAAGCCACAAAGAAGGGGCGCCTACTGGTCTTGCTTTGCTTGCTCTCTTATGAAAAATTATTTGGCTAGCTTTTCTACTCTTGATTAACCTCTTACAAGTTATTAGTAACAGTCATTCGTTTGTCCAAAACATCACGCTTGAAATTGTTAGTTTGCATCAACCTTACCCCTCTCGGATACTGCGACTATCTGGAGACCCCAGCAGCCTGCACATTACTCTTGCCCCAAATTTAATCTAAACTTAATTAAGTCTTTAGACTTAACTTCGATTTTAGAAAAAATACAGGGTAGAGGATCAAGTTAAACAACATCATGAGAAAAAAAAAATCACATAAATCGAGGATGAGGGATATTCTGAGACCACTGGCCTGATCTTTGAAAAGTCAATGTCATGGAGAAGAAAAGAAAAAGATGTGGGAGACTATTCTGGATTGAAAGAAACTAAAGATATACAATAGCTAAATGTAACACACAACCTCAGGTATATCCTGGTTCAAAAACAACAACAACAACAAAAAACCCACACCTAACTAAAAAAGGGCGTATGGAGAACAATTAGGAAAACCTGAAAATGGACTGGATGTAAGATAATATTAGAAAAAGGGCTGCCATTTTTATTAGGCACGATAAGGGACCTAATAATTTCAATGATTTTCAGGAGATCAATGCCACCCTTGGTGCAGGTAAGTGCCACCATGTCTGTAGCTGGCTTTTGTGTGATTCCACAAAGACACCAGAACAACCACAGAAGCACAGAGATAAATAAATCAGTTATGGTGAAGATAACAATAATAAATATTGGGGACAGAATATAAAGATGTTCATTCTACCACTTTTTTAACTTTCCTGTATGTTTGAAAATTTTTTTTTTTTGAGAGAGAGTCTTGCTCTGTTGCCCAGGCTGGAGTGCAGTGGGATGATCTCGGCTCAATGCAACCACCGCCTCCTGGTTTCAAGCAATTCTCCTGCCTCAGCCTCAGCTAAGTT